AGGAAACCAGTCTTGTGACAATATGGAACTTGAGTGCCTTCTTCCCTGGTTTCTATACTTTTATATTCCCTTCATCTTCTGTAATAACATTTGGTTTGATCTCTTAGGGTGAACCTGGACTTGATGGTCTTACTCTAATTGTTCTTGTAGTTTCCTTTGAGTAACTCTAAGCCACTCATAAACTATGGTCTAAAGGGGCCTTTTCTATCCTTTTCTGTTGATTGATGGACTAGGAGTTGTTGCAAACTTTTTTTTTTTTTTTTAAGACAGAGTCTTACTACGTCACCCTCAGTAGAGTGCTGGCCATAGCGTCACAGTTCACAGCAACCTCAAACTCTTGGGCTTAAGCAATTCTCTTACTTCAACCTCCCAAGTAGCCAGGACTACAGGTTCCAAGAACAACACCCAGCTATTTTCTGGTTGCAGTTGTCATTGTTGTTTAGCTGGCCCAGCTGGGTTCGAAGTTTGAACCCGCCACCCTCGGTGTATGTGACTGGCACTGTAACCACTGTGCTACGGGCGCCAAGCTAGTTGTTGCAAACTTTAATCAGATTGAATTATATATTCAGATGTCAGGGTAAGTAAAGCTCCACTTGTGTATGAAAGTAGCAGAATTGAAAATACAATAGCAATCTAGGATGTACAGCTTAAGAATTGTTTTTTATCAGATTTATACATATCAGTGATTCTATTTAATATACAGGGGGCCATAAGGTTCATGGACAATTTAAATTTAATTTGACATGAGCTTTATGGACATCCTGTATGTATTTTTTTTTTTTTTTTGAGACAAGAGTCTCAAGCTGTTGCCCTGGGTAGAGTGCTGTGGCATCATAGCTCACAGCAACCTCAAACTCTTGGGTTTAAGTGATTCTCTTGCCTCAGTCTCCCTAGTAGCTGGGACTACAGACATCCACTGCAATGCCCGGATATTTATTTGTTGCAGTTGTCATTGTTGTTTGGCAGGCCCAGGCTGGATTTGAACTCACCACCTCCAGTGTATGTGGCTGGTGCCCTAGCCGCTAAGCTACAGGTGCCAAGCCATCCTGTATGTATTTTAAAGTAAATTGGATCTTTACATGTTTTCACTATTGTTACTCATATGTGACTAAATTATAATAATTATTCTTTGACACTATTGGGTAAAATGTCACTGACTATTATGTACTAATTTTATTCTTAGATTTAATCTACATTTTACACACACACATGCATATACTACATATAGCCAAACATACACCTGTCTACACATTTATTTTCAAATTCGTAATGGAAACAAGATTCTCAGTAGTCATTGGATGGACTTAGTTAATAGAGAATAAATGATTTTTTGAAGAAAAAAGAATTAAAAAAATTTTTTAAATTAAAAAGAACTTTAATGAATATTTTTCTATTTATTGATAAACATACTATATCCAGATATTCATGATTTTATTTAATCTTAAGACTTTTAGATAAAAGTCAGCTCATGAAAATTCATTTTCTATTGTATCTCAGACTCATCGTGAAACACTACTGAGTTTTCATGCATCTTTTTCAGGTTCATTGCTTTAAGAAAATAATTGTTCTTTTAGTGTAAAGTGAGCTAAATTATCTTTCCCTTTAAGCTATAACATATTCAACAATTGGTGGCATATTTTTGTTTTCTGAGAAAGATTAGTAACGTGTAACTTTGGAAAATTTTCTCCATTTTAGAATGTAAGCCAGGGTGTTCATATCGCTATCAAAGGTAAAAAAAACAAAAAATTACATTCATGTCAAGCATCTGGCTGCGGGAGTGTCATCATTCATGGGTGGAAGAAGAATATGTGATGACCATATGTGATCATCAAGCCCCAGCCCTCTGGCACTGGTATATCACTTTTATACTTGGCAAAACCTTGTCTGACAACATTCCCAAACAGCTTGCAGCAGTTAATCAACTCTAGTCAGCTATTACAGCTGATCCTCCCCACAGATGGAAGCTGGTAGGCTCGCTTTTCCAGGTCTTTTACATATTTCCCTGAGCTCTCTAGTCTCTAAAGTACATTTGTCTGCCAGTGGGTTTCTGGAGAAGGCATCTGCAATTATAAACATTTTCCCAGGAACATATGCTGCATGCAGCTTAAACCCTATCAGGCATAACAGAAATCTCTTGTACCTTAAGGGAATTAACGCAGAGATTTGATTTTGATAAAGGAGATAGACTTTATAGATTGAAAGGATGCCAAACAAGCTGAAAATTGCAGCAGATGTGCTGACATCTCAATATTAGTGTATTTCTAATCATTTGTAGCATAAAATACAAAAGCAGCAATAACATACATACATGAATAGCTATTGGGTGCCCTATAATTCAGATGCTGATATTTTTGATCGATGCGTTATAGAGTGTTAATCCCTATATACCCTATAATGACTAGAAGAGTCACTCTGTCTAATGGTAATGTCATCTTTCAAGCAAATTGGCCTGGAGATGCAGCAGGATCAGAAGACAATAAGTTCACTGGATTTCTGTCTTCCTTTTAAGATTCAGTTGAAGATGTTCACCTCTCAGCTTATTGCAGAAGTCTCTCCCAAGTACTTTGAGCCTTAACAATCTTTCTCTTCTGTACCTGCACTAGTTACAAATGTGTGTTTAGCTGATGTTTGTACGCATCCTTCCACATTTTATTAACAGTTTTTTCCTTCCCAATTAGGGTGCAGACTGTCTGGATGAGATAGGCAAGGTTTTCTACTTTTTATATGCCTTGAGTAAATCAGGTACTCAATAAATAGTCTTTAATTAAATAGCTGTAGGTGACGAGACATATTAGACAATTCCTCACGGGTAAATTTTCTGACACCTTGAGCAATGAACGGAAGGTGGATAAATGTGCTAAACAGGTCTATCAAAATGTTTATTCTTGGGTTGGCGCCTGTAGCTCAAAGGAGTAGGGCGCCGGCCCCATAATGCTGGAGGTGGCGGGTTCAAATCCAGCCCCAGCCAAAAACTGCAAAAAACAAACAAAAAAATTTATTTTTGTCACTCTGTCAAGTGCATAGGAAAATGAAAGTAGTAATAAAGGAAAATGATTTCTCCTAACTAATAGAAAGAAATAACATCCTCATTTTATGATTAATAATGCCTTTCTCGCTTCAGTAGATGATTAAGGCCTTACAGTTTTTGGTTGAAAAGCAAGAAACCATGTTTGTATTAATTTTGAGGAGAAAATATTTGTAGGAATAGAAAGAGAAAAACACCTGGCTTAAATATTCTAGACCAGGAGGGAGACTGACTGTTGGCTGGAAACTTGGTGGAGAGAGACCCGGCTGCCATACGTGATTTTCTGCGTTGGAAGCTGAGGCTGGAAAGCTTTGGTCTGAGTCTGGAACTCCAGGAAGAAAACCAGGAAGAACCCGACTTTTTTGGCTCTGGGGATCTGCAAGAGAATAAAAGTCCTAATGTGTATTTAAAGTTAGGCGATTTCACTGTCCTTCCTAAAATATCTATTACTTAATTCAGAGGATAGATTATCTCCTGTTACCTCTCATTTTCATGCCCTTTCCTTCATTTTTACTATTCACGCCTACTACCACTTGACCCCCGAGTCAGAAAAAAAGTAAATTGAAAGACTACTGGTAGTAGTTGTCGTAAAAGTGTGAATAATTTAACCAAATAAATGAATAAATAAACGTAAATGTGTTTAGACAAGTAACATTTGTTTAAAGTCATGAATTATAAACACAAAAGAAAAATAAATGGCAAAAGTGACTAGATGCTCTCTATTCATAAAGGCTAAGCTGAGATTTAGGTTTGAATCACGGTGACAACTGTCTTTCCAGGCATATTCTCCCCTTCCCAAATATTATGGGGACACCTCATGGCTTCTCAGGATATTTTGTCTTATTTTATCAAATATACTGTTATGGCTCAGGTTAACTCAGTGGTTTTTATACTTTATCAGAATCACCTAGAGAATTTATTAAAACATGGATTACTACATCTTACTCCAGAAATTTTTATTCAGGAATTGAGGAGGGCGGTAGGGCTGGAAAATTCGCAGTTCTAATACAGTTCCCAGATGAAACTAACCCTGCTGGTCTGAGGATATACTTTGACAACTAAAAGTTTAATCCTACATACTCTAAGAATATTCATAGCTAATTTGTAAGCTTCTTAAAGGCAGTATACTATTTGATTTCCAGATTTTTTTTATTTTTATTTTACTTTTTTTTTTTTTTTTTGAGACAGAGTCTCACTATGTCACCCTGGGTACAGTGCTGTGGCTTCACAACTCACAGCAACCTCAGACTCTTGGGCTTAAGCGATTCTCTTGCCTCAGCCTCCCTAGTAGCTGGGACTACAGGCACCTGCTAACATGCCAGGTGTTTTTTTGTTGTAGTTGCCACTGTTGTTTTAGCAGGCCTTGGCTGGGCTCAGACCCACCAGCCCCAGTGTATGTAGTTGGTATCATAACAACTGCACTACAGGTGCTGAGCCTCCAAGTGTTTTTTAATAAAAACAGCCAGTATTTTTTTTGCCACAGAGTCTCACTACGTTGCCCTTGTAGAGTGCCATGGCGTCACAGCTCATAGCAACCTCAAACTCTTAGGCTTAAGCGATTCTCTTGCCTCAGCTTCCCAAGTACCTGAGACTAACAGGTGCCTTGCCCAATCCCTGGCTATTTTTTTCATTGCAGTTGTCATTGTTGGTTAGCTGGCCCAGGCTGGGTTTGAACCTGCCAACTTTGGCGTATGTGGCTGGCACCATAACCACTGTGCTATAGGAGCCGAACAACCCAATAATATTTTGAAAGAATAGAATCCTTTCATTGTAGCTCACTCAATATTATAAAAGATAAAAGATAAAATAATAGAAGAATCCTATAAAGTTTGACTTTGACTTTTTTTGATATATCATCTGTGTTATATAGTATTCCCAGGTAAATCTGTTATAATTTAAGTGACCTCTCAGTTAGACATTTGGAGACATTTACAAATAGTAAATTTGCTATTTACTTTGCATTATTCTGTGTGATATTATGTGTAAGCCCTAATAAACAGTATATGCAAAAGTCTTTTGACTTTAAAAATATAATTGATAGCCTTTCTGCTATTTTTTTCTTTTTCTTTTCACATGACTATCATGTATTTCCTTCCTAGAGATTCTTTTTTCTTTTTCAAAGAATACCAGTGTTTTTACTTCTTATCTTCAGTAATCAGCAAAGTAATAGCATTTTCACAAGTACATTTAGTTATTTTATTTTATTTCTTTAATTTTTTGAAACAATCTCATTTTGTTACTGTGGGTAGAGTGCCATCGTGTCACAGCTCACAGCAGCCTCCAACTCTTGGTCTCAAGTGATTCTCTTGCCCCAGCCTCCTGGGGAGCTGGAACTACAGGCATCTGCCACAAAGCCTGCCTACTTTTAGAGGCAAGGTCTAGCTTTGGCTTAGGTTGGTTTTGAACTTGGGAGCTCCGGCAATCCACCCACCTTGGCCTCCAGAGTAATGGGATTACAGGCATGAAACATTGGCCCTAGTTAATTATTTTATTTAAAATGTGATAATGTTTTAGGTTAAGGGTAGGTGTGGAGCAAGGTTTATGGCATGTACTTTCAAACATGAGAAGGACTGAAGACCAGAAATTCAGATCATCTCAAAGATACAGTAATAGGAAGGACAGTGAAAATGGTTCTGGATTCATACAAGGAGGAAATTTGTAACACTTGGACAAAGATTTGAATAAGGGCACTCATTTATACATATGCTCAAACTGAAGCTACATGTAGGTCATTAACACCAGATTAGAATGGTCTCAGTTTAGCAATGACAATGAACTCTATGAAAGTTTATATGTGGATGGGAGAGATATTTTTCTGTAGCTTTTAAATCTCTAAAAGCTGAATCTAAAAAAATGAAATGGATTTTTCTGAAGACAGTAAATTCCCTGTCATTAAGAAAAATCAAGCACGCCTATGATTTTTCCTACATGGGTACATGTGAATCTTTCTAAATGTCGAATGTAAATGTCTTAACACAACCATTATGAGAATGACATGATGGCTATGTTGGCCAATTGGATGAAGGTATGTCAAATTGTATATAGAAAGAACACACTGTATCTCACGATAGAATTAATGTGCACAAATATGATCTAATAAAAAAAGAAAAGAAAAATCAAGCATGTTCTGAATTCATTCACTCATTTTTCACAAAATAAGTGGAAAATGTTAGTATGTGGCTCCACTAGAACAGACCTCCATACTGACACTGTAGCAGTTTGCTTTCTACTAGAACTCCATCCTAAACTTTTCTTTTCTGAGATCTGGGGAAGACACAAAGGAAATAGGCTTAGAACTCCCCTTGCTTTACGAAGGGTCCCTGAATGGGATTCTAAGCCGTGAATCCAGAAGACTGTGTAACACCATGTTAGATTCGTGAGAAGAGGTAACGGCCAACACAGCAGTAACAACTAGAATATATGGAAAGGTAATAAACATACTTTCTGCAACACTAGTTCCAAATTCACTTTTGTCATTAGTTTGCAGAGAAACATAGAGTTAAAATTATAATCTGGGGAAAACAAGTCTGTAATGATAAAATTCAGAATAGTGGTTCAACTTAGGAATAAAGATGCATGGTTTACTAGCCAGAATGGGAACTTAATGGAATCAAATTCAGGGCTCCTCAAACTTTTTAAACAGGGGGCCAGTTCACTGTCCCTCAGACCATTGTAGGGCTGGACTGCGGGCCCTGGAACGAGTCAGTTGCTAAGCAGGACAGGCAGCGGCGGCTAAAACAACCGGTGGGCTGGATAATTGTCCTCTGCGAGCCGCATGTGGCCCGTGGACCGTAGTTTGAGGATGCCTATGCCTTATCTTGGTAGTGGTTGCATTAGTGAAATGTAATTTTTTTTTTTTTGAGACAGAGCCTCAAGCTGTCCCCCTGGGT